CATTATATTTTATTTTATTTTACATTCTTTATTATATTTTATTTGAATCTTATATGAAAATTTATATAAAATTAATTACAAATATTACAATAAATAAGATTTAATATGTATCTTTAAAGTACAAATTAAAAAATTTTATTATTAAACGAGACAATGAGTTACATAATAAGAAATTCTCATTTTTTCTTTGAAATTCCTCTTAGACCTAATCTCAATATTCATTTAAAACCTTTCCCATAATAAAAGTTTGAGAAGAGTAAGATCATAATGTCTGAAACTTTAAATATTAAGATTGTTTGTGAAATTATTTAAATATTTTTAATAAATTTTTTATGTGTTAATTTATCAATAATATTTAAGTCTTTTCATTATATTTTTAATATTTTAATTGACTAAAAACACTGATTTTTCACAATTCTTTACAAGTTATGCCAATTAAAATTAACAAGACTTCATCTTATGCTATTGCAATGCCTTCATTAACGATATAAAATAACTAATTCCATCCAATTTCAAGCCTGAATTGGCACTTAGTTAATCTACAAAAAAAAAAAAAAAAAAAAGGGACTTGGTTTAGAAATAATCAATTCCAAATTCCAGTAGCACTTTGGCAAAATAAAAAATTTTTAGGAAAGGAAGGCCCTCTCCTTATGAGGATTTCAATCAATTACCCCTCTCCCTATGCCAAATTATTGGTATAATGGCATTTTTTCACCAATATAGTTAAGGTTTAAATTCTTATTCTCCCTCCTCATCCTTCTACCTATGAGAATTTTGATCAGTAAATCCGTGTCATAAAATTTTTTTCTAAGGATACAAATTGGTTCCTATGGTAAAATTTGATTTAGTAGATCAATCAAAGTTGGATTTTTTTTAACTCATTTTTTTCTATTTCAAGTTGCACAATGAAAAATTCATTACCCCCTTACCCCACCCCACCCACATAATTAATGGAACTCAAACTTTGGATATCATATTTTTATTAAAAGGAAATATCTACTTAAATATTTAAATTGATAACAAGTTCGTAATTTTTCTTTTACTTTTTAACCATGCAAGTTCTCACTTTTTAAAAACATTGAATTATCATGAGTATTTTCCTACATAACTTGTACATAAAGCATTGAATATATTACCTTTGGCATAAAATAACTATTTTTTATTCAAGATTTGTTCTAGATTATTATTTTTTTATTTTTAAAATATATAAATATTTTTCTTTTACTTTAAGTCTTTAAATTTAATTATCCATCTTATCACCAAAATTTTTTATTTATCTTTTTTTAAAAAAATAATATAAATAAAAATATAAATTATCTATAGAATCTTAATCTATAAGAAAATAATTAAAAAAAGACACCTATTTCAAAACAAACTTAGTATATTTTTTTATGACTTTTGCCATCAACAGTGGATTTAATTAAGAGTTTGGTTAAATTGATATTTACTAATTTAAAAATCTTGATTTGGGTTCAAAATCAAATATTTAAATTTTTATATCGTCAAGTAACTAACTTTTTAATATATATATAAAAAAGAAAAAAACAAAAAAACAAGAGCAATGTCTAATATAAATGTGGAAGTGTAAAAATAGATTTGTAGGTTAAATTCAAATAAAAAGCTAAAGTTAAAAAGACAATAGTTTGAGTTTTCAACACAACCAAGGTGCCTGGTCCCCTAGTTAGGGTTTTGTTCTAAGCTATATTTAGAGACTCTTAATAATGAAAGGAACTACTATAGAATCAATAACTATTTGTAGTTGCTTAACTAACAATAATCACTGAACTCTTGAAACTTGATTTAATTACCACCAAATTAGAAGTTTGATTCTCTCTCCCCTTTCAACTTGACCTTTCTTATAATAAAAAAATTATAACTTGAACTTCTAACTCTTAAAAAAATTAAAAAAAAATTATTAAAAAAATTAAGTTAAACAAGTTTCAAGGAAAAATTCTTGAAAAATTAAGGCAAATAAGTGGCAGCACAAGACATGTAAATAAAAAGATGGTCTATTATTTATTTCAAGGGAACATCCAACCTTTTTCTTTTTCATCCATTGTAGCCACAAAATTAGAAACATCTCCTTTTGACAACTCAGCCCGGGTAAGCAAGCACTTGCGTTCGGTATACGTATTTCCATGTTCATTTTAGAGATGGAGAAGGAGGGCTGAAACCGGTTTTGGTTAGGGTGACTCAAACTTTCATAATTTTATTTTGATTTAATTGTTTAAAATATTGAATTATTAATCAATAAAATAATTATTATTTATTATTGTATTTAATAAAAAATTAAATTATAAATAAATACTTTTATATATTATAATTAATTATTTTTAAAAAATTATAAAATAATAAAATTACATGTACAATAAATAACTTTAACAAAATAAATAATCACAATAACCCAGCTGATGAAACCTTGTCTGAATTAAAATTTGAAAATGCCCATCGTCACCGGCTTTCCCTGTACATAGATTCTCGGTAATCATTCCACTTTTAATAATTAAGTAATATAGGTTAGACTTACATAGGGGTCGGCTTTCGCACTTTCTCGCCTACAACTGTCAATTTTAATCATCATCTGCTAGCCACCCATTTCTTCTTTTCCTTAATACTTCCTCCGGCCACAATTTGGCAAAAACGCACATTTAATCTCCTAACTTATTAAACTTAGTATTTTTAGCCTTTTATCTTATGTATTGGAAGTTTTAACACCTTAATTATTTGATTTAAAGTAAATAATTTAAAATTAACATTGGTTTAATGAAAATAGCACGTAAGATCTTTGTGAGACATGTGATAATTTAATATTAATTTTAAATTATTTATTTAAATCAAATAGTTAAAGAATTAAAAGATTTAATGTGTAAAATGAGACACTAAAAATAACAAATTTAATAAGATAAGGGGTTAATATAAGCTTTTGCCCCATAATTATGACCACAAAAACATTCGGTAAGGCTACATAAATGTATAGTAAATTTGGTTGATTTAATTAACATTATCATTTTATAATTTATTAAGGTGTTTAAAAATATTCGATACATAAGTTAAAATTAAATTGTCAAATAGCAAATATTAATTGTTATATTAATTATTAGTTAACAACCAAGGACGAAACTACCTTAGACAAGGGGCAACTGCCGCCTTAACTTTGAAAAACTGTTCACCATGGTGCTTCATTTCTTGTTTATTTGAAATTATGAACTAAATTAAATTTTGACTAATTGATAAAAACATGTTCGTAATTCATCTTCTTTTTATATTCTTTTAAGTACAAACATGTTTAGATTTATAAAAAGAAATTAGAAATTTAATTTAATTTTGATTGATTAGTATAAACATGTTTATTGGTTTAATAGCAAAAGATTGTGCTCTCTTAAGCAATTATAAAACATAATTTGAGTATTTTTTTTCTTAATTTTTTAAAAATAGAATCGAACACTGTTCTTTACATGTATACACATGCTCATTTAATATTATAGCATATATGATGGAAGGTACTTTCTGATGTTCTCTTCAAGAAGAGAACAATGACAGAGTTGATGTCACTGGACTAGTTCCCTAAAATAGAGCCGGTATTTTTGCGCTTCCTAAAACAGAGCCGGTCTTTTTGCATAGAGACCAACTTCTCTTTTTATTTTTAATTTTTAGTCCCTGTTTAAGGGCCAAAACTATGTTTAAGGTGCAACACTACATTGTTCTGGCCCTTAAACAAGCAAAAACAATTAAATAGCATTGACACATTTATTTTTTTAGTGTAAATTTTAATTATTCTTTACTTATTTTTTACTACAAATTTTATTTTATTTTCCTTTATGTAATTGAATTTATATTATAAGTTGATTTTATTAAAACGTAATTTTAATTTTTATTAATGTGAGTTTATAAAATAATGATTTAAATATATAAAATGTAAATTAAATAAAATAATATTAGTATTATTTTTA